ACCTTTTTAAACTTGTAAGTTGGATGGGTGTCTCCAAGCCGAGTTCAGGACACGTTGAAATTCTCAATTCTTTCAGAGAACAAAGATTTTCAGGCAACTTTCCCATCAACTTAGGACAATTTTCAATTGAAAGCTTCTCGAGTATAGGAAACTCTCCATTTCCTAGTACATGCCATTGCTTCCACTCCGGCATATCTTTAAATACAAGCTTCTCAAGAGAGTTAAAAGGCTTTCTAGAGGATGAAATGCCATAGAATTCTTCCGTCACCTCTGTTATTCCATGCATCTCTCCAATCGAAAGGAATTTCAAACAAGGAAGCTGTCCTAGTGCTGGCAAGGAATCACAGTCCTTGCAGTGCCTAAGTGACAATTCTACCAGCTTAAGAAACAAAGGATCAGCTAGCCAATTTGGAAATTTCGTTCCTCTATATCCGGTGATTTCGACTTCTTTTATGTTTTTATGTGGCCGTAGCTCATCAAGTATGTCTCTTTCAGTTTGTGGATTGTCGACACTACTACTTCCACTCCACTCCAATGATAACTTGTCAATATGATTCTTCTCCCTCATCTTTGCCTTCATAGCTTCCCTTCTATCTACCACATTTTGCAACTCTACAACTGACAGAGATCCATATAACTTATGTACTTCACCTAAATCTTCCATTCTCAAACCACCGCGACCACCTACAAGAAACTTGGCTCCCACTAACACTTGAAGGCTTTTTAACTTGCTCAGATGTAGCGGCATCTTCAAGTGAGAAGTGTTGCTTATGTCAAGATGACGCAAGTTAATCAACTTCTCCATCTGCAGCGGTAGATCCTCAAGTTTATAACAAGATGACAGTAGAAGTGTCTCCAAGTTATACAATCCACAAATGGAATTAGGCAACTTTCCAATACTTGTCTCAGAAAGGTCCAAAAACCTGAGGAGCTTTAATTTGATAAACAAATCATTTGGCAACTCCTTAATATAGTAATGAGACAATGATAGTACCCTCAAAGATCTTAGTGTAGGCAGTATGTTATGCAACACCCTCTTGCTTAGTGGGTGATTACAATAATTGACACTAATACATATCGGAAGCAAAGTCCTCAGCCCCTCCAATTTGTTGAGGGATGTCAACTTCTCAAACTCACCATCATTTCCCATAGAATATGACAAGTGTCGACTTTTTTCCAACATATGAGATCCTTGACTCTCTTCCAACCTGATACAAAGTTTTGAAGATGCAATTTGGGCTAAATCGTTGACAAGGTCATGCATTAAGAATTTCTCTATGTTCCACTCTGAAGGATTTGGGACCCTTTCGAATAATGATCTTGACCTCAACTCGAGAAAGTACCGACTGCCTGAATCTTCAATTATTTCATCTTCCTGTGGTACAAGACCATTGGCAACCCACAGATGAACGACTTGTTCTTTACTAAATGGATAATCTTTGGGAAAAATTGCACAGTAGGAAAAACATTGCTTTAAATGTGCAGGAAGATCATTGTAGCTCAACATCAGCGCTGGTAATATGTCATTCTGTGGCAGCTCCCATATTTCACTTTTCAAAATACGTTTCCACTCTTCAACCTCTGATTTGGAGCGTAACATGCCAGCAAGAGTCTTCAGAGCTAAGGGCAGTCCCTTGCACTTAGCTGCAATTTGTTTTCCGACCTCTTCAAGTTCTGGATGTTCCATAGGATTCATGTTTTCAAATGCATGTCTTTTAAATAAAGACCAAGAGGCTTCAATAGACAAATGGTCCATGCTAATTTGCTCATTTCCCATCATCAAGGCAACACTCTCTTTACGTGTCGTCACAATGATCTTACTTCCAACATCTCCTTGTACAAACAAATTTCTCAAGTCATCCTATTCGTTGTAGTTGTCATTCCACACATCATCCAGAACAATAAGAAACTTCTTTCCCTTTAAGTTTTCCTTCAATTTGACTTGAAGCTGATTAAGATTTTTGTGGACATCCTTTGAGTCAAATGATTCAATTTCTTGAATTAAACCTTTTGTTATTCTCAAAGCATCATATGGCTCAGAAACACAATACCAAGCTTTCAAACCAAAATGGTTCTTCACCCTCTCATCATGGTAAATCGCTTTAGCAAGTGTTGTCTTACCCAGGCCGCCCATTCCAACAATAGGAACTACTGTCAGATTTTTTCCACTTGCATCTTCAGACAATAAGCGATCAATCAAATCCTCTATTTCACTCTGCCTTCCAAAGATATCAGAATCATCAACCAAAGAAGTTGAAGGTGTTCTTGTTTCTTGTTTAGTCGAACCTAAATGCTCCTTTAAGCCAAGGCGACCAATTTGCTTTTCCAACACCTCCAATGTTTCAATGGTTTCTTCGAACTTCTCCGTTATGTTAAGACAAAAATCATCACTCAAGCACAGGTTGCAAATCCTCCAACGTTTCAATAGAGTTTCTGCAAGATTTTGATACTGACCTTCCACCTTAAGCCTCAGTGCTTCATAATTGACTTCTTCTATTAAGTTCTCCGCAGAGTCCACAGCATCTCGAAGCTCATTAAGCCAGTCGCTCACAGATGGATTTGACGCCTGCTTATTCTCTGCATCACTTAGCACAATCTGAAGACCACGCAAAGTCATTTTCAGCTTCTTTAAGAGCCGAACCTGATCCTTATGCTTCCGAAACATGTTGAGAAGATCACCCTGAGAAGCAAGCCTTTCAAAAAGAACATTCAAAGCTGAAGAGAGAAATGCTCCACCAACTACCTCCATTTCTGAAATCTGCAAGCAAAACAAGGAACCACAAAATGATTTTAAGAATTTTGAGAAGATAAATGTTTCAATCTTAAATTACTAACAACTGTATTTTACCTGTTGAATGCTAATAGTGATATGTAAACAAGAATGATTGCTCTCTCTCTCTTTTGCTAGTAATCTTACTTGTAATTGATACAACTATGTTTTATCTACAGTCTTTTTTTCCCAAAAGCAAAATAATAGAGTCTGGTTTCTTGACTATGCATTACTACTTTTTTCAATTCAATAATTGAAGAGATGAAGGGTGGAGTAAAAGGGCCCCCAGGTGGGGGACTCAAAAATAAAAGAGTTTTAAATGATAAATTTCTACGCAGCTCATTATAAACGGACCTACCTTATCATGAACATGAACTCTACATTCTTAAAAAGTTCTTGTTTTTTTTTAAATAAATCATTCTTGATAAATGTTATTGTTGAATTTTGAATTTAACAGAAACGTATTCATTGTTTGAATGATACTTTACTTTCTAAATTTTGCTGGACAGAACATGTTCTTTGCAACTGTAGGTCATTCATTTTAATGTTTGTCTTGTTTTGTATTAGTTTGGCTGTTGTAGAAAAGAAAAGTTGAAGTGGATATCTCCTCAAGATGTAAGCTGAATATATTTCAAAATACCAAAAGTTCCCTAAGTGACAATAATTAAAGGGAAAAAGAATATGATATACCCAGATGATATACCCTCGTTATAAAAGTGGCTCATATATACCTCTACTTGTAAACAAATTGCCCACATATACCCTTTTCCTCTAACGGAAATGGAAAAAGAAAATTTTATCAAAAATTTTATTATTTTTTTCTAAAAAATATAATCTCATATGAGTAAATTTAATCCTTGTCAAACATTTTTTTTGACTTTTTTTTTGTTTTAATGACTAATTTATAATTATTATTTTGATAATCAAATTTATTTAT